GCAGTAACATCTCCATGGAGAAAAGCATTTGATGGACCCTTCACCAGAAAAGTTACACAATGCATCTTTAATGTTTTGGATTTATGTTTTTCAACTGGCAACAATCCCATCTTTAGGGTTGAATAATGGCTCCACTTTTGTTAATCTGTCAGAGAAGATATTGAACTTGCCAGTTTTTGTTTCATGTGGTTAGGTCCAGTAATTACAGATATGAATCTGGGACCAGGTCAACAAATCTGCAACAGTTTAAAGGTTCTATATTACACAACATTGACTCTTGTAAGCTTTAAGACATGTTAGAATGAATGTTACCTGATTCTAGTGAAGGTGTATGGAGTTTAAAACACAGTGGAGCACTTCCTGTATTAACACATGATATCACACGATGGAACAGAATGTTTTCTGTTTGCGAGGAAACAACATTATAAGCCCTTTAGACAGATTCAACCACAGAATTCTGACCTGCCCTTCATTTGGAAGAATGTGCACCAAGACTAAGACTACTATACTGACTTGTGTAGTTTGCCGTGTAGTACAGGCCAAAACTATAATGAAAGTAGTCCCTCATTATGGTAAACAGTCACCTTTATATATAGCTCTTTTCCACCTTCAAAGCACTTGAAATCAAGGAACCACTGACACGTTCCACACACACATTCATACACCAGTGTACACAGACACTAGGGTCAAGGTTAAGTGTCTTGCCCAAGGAGATAACGACAGCATTCATCTGTGGGCACTGGAATTGCACTACCAACTTGTGTGTCAATGGATCTCAACCAAAGATGTTTATGCCAAGAGCGTGATTCAAGCAGTGAACCTTCAGATCAAATGCTCTACCAACTGAGCTACTGTCACCGGGGTATATACCTGTAATATGCCAGAATGTCCTGATAGTTGGTACATCAATAAAAAGAGTCTCTGAAACCAAAGCCAGTGTCTGCCCTGTGGAGTCTGTGTGGCATGTTTCTCCATAAAAGTGATAAACAGAGCAGTCACATGAGCACCATGTGGGAGACAGATGCTGCCCAAGATGAAATGCTGGATTTAGCAGTAAAAGCCCCACAGAGATAGTAACAAGGAGCACACAATACAACTCACCCAGACCGTTGTGTGGCTGTTTTACTGGCTTTTCACTTCCAAAACATCTCAATTTAGCTTTAATAAGCAACTTAAAATTATGCAATTTGTCAAAACATTCACACTGAGAGGTTCTACAGTTTAATGGTCTTAAACGGTTTGTAACTAATTTGATTGTAATAGAGCCAATTGGTAAAAGAAGTTACACTGATCATGGTGAATTAGACAAAAATGGATTAGGGGCAGACATTTTAAATAATTCATAGATTTTAGGGAAATCTTTGATAGTCTGAGAGCTGTTTTTACGAGTGTAAGAAACATATGAGTGATAAGATAAGACTACACCATCAAAAGTTGCAATCCATTGGTGATTATCATCAAGTAGGGATGGGATAATATCTGCCAGATCTTGAGAGGTAAAATTATGATAAAAAGGGAAAAGAGTTGAGACAACGCAGTTCCAAAAAGCAGTGTGACAATGACAGAAAAAAATGAAATAAATAAATAAAATAAAAAACAAATTGTGGGGCCAAAATATGAAATGTGAAACTCAAAGTCTTGTCTCTCCCGTTTGGTCAAGCTGAGTGAAATTGGTCAGTGGAGCTCCACAGTGACTGCTCATTTCCCAGTCTCTGAAGTAAATTTCTTATTCATGTCCCCCATAGATATTCAGAAAAAAAAAAAGGTTTGCAAGCTTGCACAGGGCTAATCAGCTACGTGGTGACTAATGAACAGCCGCGTTATGGATATAAGTTACTGCTAAGCTGGGTAGCCTCTGCGATGCCTTTGAACTCTTAATATTTGAATTTTTCTAAAAGTCTAGGGTGAAGATGAATGAAAAATTTACTTCAGGAACCAGACTGAACGGTCACTGTTGAGCTCCAATACAATTCTGAACTAGAGGAAAAGTGAAACCTATGAAATATGATACCACCAATTAAATTAATAAACCAACCAGAGATTGACTGAATGAACTGCTTGGCAACAGGCTAATTTTAGTCTGTCAAATCTCCCCTGATGTGCTTTTCTAATTCACATAATCTTTTCCTACTCTCTGATGGGCATCTCAGTGTGTCTACTTCACACATGAATAGCACCATATATATAGTTGAAAAACACTGCATAGTGTTTTATAACTCAGTAAGATTTTTTTAAAGGTCCTATATTATGTAAAATTGAAGCCATGTTTGAACCCTGTTACCTACTCAAAAACATACCTGAAGTCTGTCTACATCTCCAAAATTCAAAATGCTCTGTTCCAGTTAGTTTTCCAGCTACCTTTTACCTTTAATTCAGTAGAGACTGTCAATTCCAGGGCTGAAATCATTCAAATGATTCTAGTGAAAATGTATGGAGTTTAAAAGTACAGTGGAGCACATTGAGAGTTTGAAAGAAGAGCTCATACTCAGGATTTATTTGTTAAATGTGTGTGAATGAAACAAAAACAAAACTCTGGGTAGGTTTTTGATGAGGAAACAACATTATAACATGGATCAGAAAACAGTATAATATGGGCCCTTTAAAGAATGTCCAAATAATTTTGAAATATATGTTTTAAAATATTGTAATAAGCAACTCTGTGCCTTATAAACTCTGGACCAAAGCCAATGGGACTGGCAAATGGAAAGTAGAGAGTGTCTTATCATGTCAGCAGAAATTGCTTATACCAAGTTTGGCTCTTGGCAACAAAAGACAGCTACAAAGTAGTTCAGCTAAATTAATTAGAATCTAACATTTGTATGGGCATAATTCAGACTGAAACATCCTGATTGGTGGAAGAAAACTATACAAGACTCACTGTAAAAGGGGTGGTATTGCAGATGAAGACAGAAAGTGAGCTAACCACTCTGCCACTCTTTCATAATCCTATTCCCCAACACAGCACTACCACACATGATTAGATGCATAGACACTTAGTTAGCATAAATCCTGCACAAATTTGACTCAGTAGCCACCAGTCTATCAGCCACAACATAGTAGTAGTAGTAAGATGTGTGTTTTGGTGCCAGATGCCAGTGTGGCGTAAGTGTCATTCGCCTTGAATTAAGTAACGGTCAAAAATACAGTCCTGTTATAGTCAGAGCTTGTCACGACCGCCTGCCCACTGCATTGGCCTCCTCTCTCTCTCCTCTCTCTCTCCTCTCTCTCTCCTCGCCCTCCTCTCTCTTTTCTCTCTCTCTCTCTCTCTCTCTCTCTCTCTCTCTCTCTCTCTCTCTCTCTCTCTCTATCTCTCTCCTCTAGTAGGTATAGGACTCCAGTCTCCACAGCAACCGTTGCACAATGTATTGGGTGCTTGGAAACAGGGTTCGTGTAGGCTGAGAAAAACAGGTTCATTTTCTATTACCTTTTTATAAAAATTGGTGCATAATGCCAGAGGAGAGATTTTACTGTATCACTGTGTTGACGTCCTGGGGTCTGTCAGTTTTATTCTAGCAGCTGGCAGCTTAGTCACATAATCGAGATGAATGCTAGCGTATGCACTTCACACTACACATTGCAATAGAGACTTAAGTGTGCATGGTGAATTCCCAGCATGCTTTTACAAAAATGGCATTATTAACTCTGGGATGTCTCTTTAGCCAATAACATGCTATGTTAACGAAAAGAGCAGCATTTCATTTATCATTTCATAGTCAGATTTCCAGAGAGTAGATTTCATTCAAATACATTCATTAATAACACCTAACCAACCAATAGTACTGCATGATTTGGGAAAAATATCATATTGCAAATTTTCTAACAGGCATTGCTTTTGAGATTAGATTTGTGATTTATGGTCTAATAGAATTTTGTTCAAAGTTCACATATTAAATGTCTCCAGAAGAATTGACAAAAAGGAATATGAACTTGCTGTTTGTGGTTGAAAATTGCATTTGGATTGTGTTTGGATTGCGATTAATCTTGCACCCTACCAACCAACTGTGCAAGATAGACCCATCTTTCACAAATACCATTATAATATAGGTAGGTATATTGGTGGGATACTGGTTAGTGATCAAATATGGTAACATGGTAACTTCAGGACGCTAGTCGTAGGAGTGTAATGGCCTCCCTACCAGAAAGGTATGTTTACAGGATCACATGATCAACAAAATGACATACTTCAACCAACTCCAAGGTACACAAATTGTTGTAAGTTGTAATTAACATGTTCTAAATCTGTCAAACAATATTACAGTAATTTTAAATACTATTTAGGGTGAAGTATCAAACTGTAGAAAAGTGATTTGAATAGTAAAGTTCAATATATTGTGTCTTTGTGTGTGGAAATCAATCTTCAAATAATATAATATAAGACATCTTTCTTTTACATGAACAATTAAGTTAGTACAGCATGCTTAGCATTTGTTCATGCCTTATTAAGACTGACTACAGTGTAATTATTATAATGTAATACCAAAAAGCTTCTCTTGCATAATAATTCTACCTATGATTTTTCTATTAGGATTGACCCGGGAAGTGCTTACATTTTTCAGTCAGAAATATAGACTCCTTTTGCAGAAATTCTACTACTTCTTCTCATAGTGACATTTCATTATCTTCAAAATAATTAGCTATCTAAAGTAAATATGTAGATATGGAAATTAACTGGATTCATGTTCTTCTCCATGTACACCTTCATTAAAATAATGAATAGATAATTTCAGACCGAGAATTACCCATCTCTACTGAACAAAAGATAAAAGGTAGCTGTTAACTTCGCTTCATGACATCACAAGGTGGAACAGAGCATTTTGAGCTTTGAAGATAGACAGGCTAATAATAAAGAATTACTCAAACTTGTGTGAATGAAAGAAAGCACAATTCTGGATATGTTTTTGAAGAGCTAACAGCATTATAACATGCCTTAAAGCTTACAAGTGTCACTTTTTCATAATGTAGGACCCTTAAAATAATCGTATGTATTCTTTTAATGGTACCTGCTCTTTGATCTCCTGAAGTTTGTTGCTCTGGTCACGGATGTCGTTGAGAAGTTGAAGAGCTTTGTCATCTTCCTGTGTCACTTCCATCCTGGCCTGCTCCAAACTGCGCTTCAAACTCTACAAGAAAAATGTACATGAGAAATACAGGACTACAGGATACAGAGAGATACAGGACTACATTTATACCATACTTGATACAACTGCTCACTCTTATGTAACAGATATGTGTCCTGTCAATTATCATATCTTTGCACTGATTTTCCTTACAACATTTTATATATAGCTGAGATATTTTTATTACTTATTTCTATTGTATTTTATGGTTACTTGTACAGTTATATAATAATGCCTTATTTGACATCAGTCTCTAATATTTTTGCTACTTATTTAGAATGTATTATTACGATTTATATTTTTTCTTTTTGTCATTATAATATGGCATGTGAGCTACCGTGTCCAAAGGATTTCCCTTGTGAATCAGTAAAGTTTGTCTAAGTAAGTCTAAGTGTAAATCAAAAAGGACTTGAATTCAGTGCAAATTTAAGTCAGCGAGGATTAAATGTCATCCAGGTAAGATTTTATTAAACAGATGAAAATTTGAGCAATGTTGTGTATTCCATTCGAAGCAGATGTTGTTCCCAATCTTTTTTGTCAAATGAGCTACTGATTATTTTAAAAAACTCATCTGAAATATATATTGTGTTCAAAATTAAGTTAAAATCGAAATAAATATTCTACTATTAAAGGTGCACTGCACAGCTTTTCTGGTGGAGGGTCCGTCATCTGCTTATCTTCATGCAGATATTCTTGCTTTGTCTAGAATGCTCCACAGTAGAGAATAAACCTATCAATCTCAAGGGACACAACTATAGGCTCCATTACAGGTCAGATCTGTGAAGAGGCAACCCTATTTACAGAGAGAATTATTGTATTTTGAGCAATAGAAACTGTGATGAATAAATGCAAGGTAAATGTGTTTAACGTCATAAAATTGAACTTTTCAGGCAAAGCAATAACATCTCCATGGAGACAAGCAGGTGATGGCTCCTCAACTGAAAAGTTATGCAATGAATCTTTAATCAGACATTTTGCTACAAAAAAAGTGAGTTTATTGCAAAAAATGTGTATAGTTTGTCTTTGTCTTCTTTCACAGTCTCCATCGATCATTTGGAATAGCATTTTTCAAAGAACTGATGATGGGCTCAGTCTTACACTGACAGACACAAAGGTTTAACCTGTTGAAGCTATCAGCAGGTGAAAGTACTGCTTAAATAATGACACTGAAACTAGTGTTGGCAAAAACACCACAATATGCGATTTGTGCTTATCTAATACACTATGACAGCTTAAAGGATCCTGCAAATTCTTTCTATTTCCATAACATTTATAGCTGCCTTTTACATATAATGAGTCACACCCCGTGGAGAGAGACTGCCAAGAGGAAGATTCTGATTAGAAATGTGAAATAAAACAGCACGCCATTAAGCAAAGCATAAATGTCTCCCACTTTTTCTACATACTGGGTCCCCACGAAGCTCTGCATGTGCCACTATAGTACAACAGTGATGCTTGTCAGCTGCTGTTGTGTTGTTTGTTAAGGTATAACTTTAACATTCAAAACAATGCTTGGTTTTGTCTGATTGCACTCTGTGAATTGCAAAGCTATCTTCCAATTGACGTCACTGAACACACAGCATGGGTCTTTATGTAAATAAGTTAATCAGGCCTAATATCTTTAATGCAGTAGGTGCTTTCTCTCCTATAGCGCTCCATATGCTTTCCGTGTAATTAAGTGAATGCCATGACATTCACACATGTGTTCTCACTTATGGTGGTGCCTAGAACATGTAAAGGCTCACGCTGCACTCTGTGATGTAAGTTGCCAGGTCCTGCTCTAAAATGGTCCTCTGTGTTTCTGAAGCCTTCAGCTCAATGTCCTTCTGCTGTAACACGGACTCCAGGTCGGACATCTTCCTCTGGACCAGAGAGATCTCCTGCTCCACCTGCAACAGAATACTTATAGTAAAATGATGTTTGCTTCAAAATATAAGTAAGTAAGATCTAGTCAAGAGTGAGTATTTAAAAACACAAAATGTCTACTAAAAGATGACACACCAAATCATCTCTAACCTTCTACTTCCTGTAAGGGAATGGACATAGCAATGTCAGCATGTATTGGTTAATTGATAATCATGATATTCAGATCAAAATATATTTGTTAGAATTATAGATTTATAATCATTAGAAAGAATAAATGGCAGGGAGTGAGTTAGCTGGAGTTTGGGAGTGACTGGACAGTTTCATTTCCTTTATGTAGATTCTATTTACTAGTATTTCTCTGTATTGCGTGAGATCCTAATCATTTTGAAAGCTTTGCCCAGCACCACGTCCCCTTTCAGTTGCTTCATCGATGCACATGGCATGTTTTTAGTCTACCATTAATTTCTTTTGTACATTACTGCCCTACTGGTTATATCACATTAACATGACTTGATTCAGGTTCATTCAGATTTAAAGTTAGTCTCATACAGGATGTATGTTGTTCTATGAGACCATTTAAATAAAAGTAATTGTTATTTGGTCATGAAGTCAGTAAAATGATAAAATTGTGATGTTTTTTTTTTCTCAGAGTAAGTAAGTAAAGCAAGAAGTGAACTGTACAATTTGATATTGTGACATCCTTAAACATAACTATGAACTGCGAGTATTTAGTTAAAACTATGCCAGGTCACTTTGTTACAGCTCTAATACAATATATCCTATCCCTTCTATGGTCCAAGACAGTTGAAATTCCCAGAACAGTAGTATTGTTTTTTTCCCTGCAGCATGTTTATGTGTTTGTCCAGGCTAGGACAGAGGAGTAGTGGCAGATGTCACTCTGATAGAATTAAGCCAGTGCCATTAAAGCATTAGGAGCAAAAGGAGCCACAGAGAAACAGCAGGAGGAGCACAGTCACACAGCACTTAGTGTATAGCACCACTCACACCCAGTCACCATATTCACAACATACAAGACATGCTCACAGCAGTATGCCATGTGTCTGGGTCTGTCTAACATGAGAGGCTAAAGAAAAATGCTATAGTTTATCATTAGAAATTGTATAATAACAGTTATATATCTAAACATGTCATGCTACAGTTTAACAACACCATAGAGATGTTATGCATTGCTGTAAATGTTTCATAATATGGTATTAAACTTATCTATTTCCAGGGAAACAAGCAGTTATGTGAAGAGCTCACGGCAAGTATGTAGTGCATATATTTTTGAGCAATACAAGCTCCTTTCATTGAATGATAGATTAAAGGTCCTATATTACACAAAATACTTCTTCACAAATGTCTCTTGAGAGCTTTAAGGAGTGTTATAATGTTATGACCTCATTAAAAACATACTTAGAGTTGTGTTTCGTTTCATTCACACATGTCTGAACAACCCTGCATTATTAGTCTGTCTACAGCTCCAAAACCACAAAATGCTCTGTTCCACCTTGGGATGTCATGTAGTAGTAGTTTTCAAGTTAAAAACTCCTTTTTAACTTTAGATCCGTTGAGATGAGCAATTCCAGGTCTAAAATTATCCAAATGATTCTAGTGAAGGTGTATGGAGTTCAAAAACACAGTGGAGTGCTTCCTGTATTACCACATGACATCACAACATGGAAGAGATTGTTTTCTGTTTGAGAGAAGAACTCAGCCTAAATATGCAGGGTTTGTGTGATAAACATATGAATGAAACAAATCCCAACTCCATAAATTTGAGAAAACAACATTATAACATAGATCAGAAAACAGTGTAATATGGGCCCTTTAATGTTCATACAGTAGAACAATACAGGCAAAGCAATAACACCTCGTTGATAATAAAAATGTAGCCCACAATGGATAAAGTCTTACCTGGGACATGGTCTGTGGACTCCCTCTGTTTAGTCTTTTACAAAGGACTCTGGTTGTGTAGAACAAGATGGTCTTATTTACAATGCAGAGTGCTCCAGTCCCTTATCTGTGAGAAAGGGAAGATAATAGAAACATATAGTGAGACTCAGTGGCACAGTAAACCAGGAGCAGGCACTCGGGTGAAGAGCCAATCCAAAGCCCTCATATAAAAGAGCCCTAATAAGGCCCTGACAGGAACTGGTCACATCAATCTGTTAATAATGCAGTAGATCAAAAAACATTAGATGGAAATTAGATTATGAAATACTGCATAATGATACTGATAATACTATATAATAATTTGTGTTCAAGCTCTCCACAATGGCTGTAAATATCATCTGTCTAACATTGAGCTTAATTAACAAAAGAAAGGCTATTTCAATTTTAAAGATGCACTGTGTAAGGGTCTATGTGTAGGTTTTATTGCTTTGCCTATAATGTTCTAAAGTACGGCATTAAACATATCTATCTCCATGGAGACAACATCACAAGCTCACATTACACTTCATGTTTTTGTACGTATTTGAGCAATAAAAACACCTGTAATTGAATAAATGCAAATAAATAAGTGTAGTTTGGAACATTCCAGGCAATAACATCTCATGGGGGACAATCAAGTGGCAAACCCCCAACAGAAAAGTTACGCATTGCACCTTTAAAGTTATACAAAGAACCAGAACAAAAATTAAATGAATTGAATTTTGAGATACAGAAAGGGATATTAATTCACTCCTCCAATAGCACATAGAGATTGTGTGGTTCAGTGAAAGAGCATTCACCCCTGAATACGAGTATCTGTAAAATGTTGTCTGTTTCTTTTCCTTTACAATTCCAATTTTCTTTCACTCATTCTCAGCCTCTCCAGGTAACAAATCACACACACAAGATGAGTAATGTTTCTTGCCCAAAAGCACAATAGAAGTACACAATGCCAACATGTCTCACTATTACATATCTGATATCTGTTGCTAAGCAATGCTGCAGTTTTTTGCTTTTGTCCAGATCTGTACTCATCACGCGTCGTGCTGATGCTATAAATAGCCCGCGTGTGGTGCCTCCTTAACCACCGCTGGATATATTTGGCATCTTTTGTGATGGAGAGAGAAGCAGAAAAAGACCCACACACACAAAATGTCTATTTAAAGCATCACCTCCCACTCATCCCCTCAGTAACGCGCTCAACCCCAGTAACATCACTATAGTGCTTTCTATTTTTCATGTTTTATCTTCTTCTCTTCCTGCAAAAAAAAAAAAAAAAGGAGTAGTAATAGTGATCATCATCATCAAGTTTGATTGAATTTCAGCTTGCTTTTTCTGCTTTTCCTCTCCACATGTCTCTAAAGATTTTTGGATTAAACTTATCACTGCCTGCCAACATATCTGGCTCGAGGTATCATTTTTATCCATCAGTGTGAGAGTTTAAACACACTAAATGATACAGTTGTTAAAAAGAGGAGGCAGAAGAAATTTTTAAGTAAAATCACAACAAACACTGCAGAACTGAAAAGACATGGCTTCTTGCTAATTCAATTAGGAGCAACATACAGGTTTTCCTCAAATCTTATTAGAGATTGACCGATATGTTTTTTTTATGGCTCAAGCTGATACCAATCATTTAGACTCCAGATAAACCAATGGCTGATAAGCTCTGCCATTTACTTGATTCTGATTATTCCCTACATTATGCTATTTCAGTTTAATACAACTGCAAACTTACACACGCCCTTGTTTTTTAACCTTTTAAAGAGCAGTGTCACATTTTGTACTGTTATCTCTTCATACATAAGTGCTCTAATAGAGCATTATGGCTATTCTTTAGACAGCAGGTCAGCCAAATTAAATATTGTCCTCTGAGACCTCTGAAACCGTCAGCAGATACATTAAAGAGTGTAAATATAATGGCCAACCGATATATCAGCCCTCTCATCCCGGTTTATAGTCCCCTTTAGGTAGGAAGGCAGCACCAAAACTTATATAAATCAGCTGACCGGATGCGTCACACCAACATCACATAACCACTAGGGGTGGCACGGTTCACAAAATTCACGGTTTGGTTCGTATTGCGGTTTAAGGTTGCAGTTTTTGGTTCGGTATGGTTCTTGTCAATTTTTCTTTTTAATCTTTAATCTCCAGAAATATACTTCATCATGTGCTATGTTAGCTTAATTATCAACAATTTAGGATACAGCATTAAAAAAGTTATAAAATTATAGTTAGTAATGTAATCATGCACAAACTGAATTTGGCTTGACACATTATTATTGGACATTATTATTGGACATAGGCAGCTGTTGTGCTTCAATGAAAAAATGTTACCACCTTCCAAACCCTCCTCAGGAGTCGGGATACTTGGTTTAGTGAGATTGTGCTCTTGGCTGCAAGGTTAAGGGCCCTGCAGCACATACGGGCACGAGGCTACAATGTGCAAGCTGTGAACTGTGGAAACCGTACGGTACGCACATGTCCCAAACCGTGACAAGCGAACCGAACGTTTTTTTTGTTTTCTTTTCATGAACCGTGCCACCTCTAGTAACCACTCTAGACTGCTAGTGAGCAATCGAAACTGTCAGGCATGAAAACAAACTCTTGGTCTGAAAAAATAACCTAATAACATAAATTATCGGAAGACCAAATTAACCTCATTGGACCAAAGAAGGTCTTAGATTTTTTTTAAATCCAAGACAAGTCTTAAGGTTTAAACTAAGACTAAACCATAACATTGCTGTGGGCCACAAACCCTCAACATTGCAAAAAAGGTTGAATTCTGTCAAATGGATAAGAGTTTTTACAATCAATACATCTCTACCTGGATAACTGAGGGATTACACAAACCCAACCACAGCATGAATGCACGATCAATTGACACCACATGAGAGGTGTCAGTTGCTTCCATCTATCCCTAGAATACTCCTTGTTCAGAAGAAAGTAGCTATGGCTTATGTGGTGAAGTAATTTGGAGCTATTATCTTGAATATGACCAATCCTCAACAGCAGTTTCCCAGTGCAGTGTGAAAGCAGGTGTCAGATCATGAGTAGTTAAGCAGAGCGCGGTGTCAGACGAGAGGGTAAAATCAGGTGATCTTCTCTACTTGGCACACGGTCTGTTCATCTGTGTCCCGGAAAATAACACTGCATACATGTGGGGTCCCATCTGGAGGGCACAGTCAGGGTCCACACACGGTTGGGTCAAAGTACAGGTCAGGATTTTGGTTGATATTCTTTATTTATTTTTATACTGCAAGTCTTTTTTATAGATAGATAGATAAATAGATTAGAATAGTCGTAGTAGTAGCAGTAGTAGTAGAAGTCGGTTAAGTGTTTCAAAAAAGGCAGACAAAGCAGCATTTGCATTTGTTTTCCAGGAAGGTCAGTTTTTGTCCAGGTACATTGTTCACTTAAAGTCATGGAAAAACAACTGCCTGACTATCTCAGACAGAAGGAGGATCAAGCTAGGCCCACTTCTGCTAACTCACTAATAAAGTGCATGTGCTCCACAGAATGCAACAGCAGATGGAGTTGGATCTTGCTGCGTTTCTCCAAAAGTGCAGGTTCACGGCCCATAATGATGTGAGCTAACAGCCCATGCAGCTAGGCCCTCCCCCCTAATCACCATCTCCCCCTGAGCAGCCACAGATAACTGGAGATGACTCTGAGCTCATTCAAACCACAGGAACGCATCTAGTTATTCAAGATGGTGGCCCTTGTTTATGTTAGCACATGTTAAGTCCTAGAAGTTTAGTCTATGTTTGATTATTCAGTGAAAAATAAAAGTCAGTTTTGGTTTTGTCCTGTTTTAGCATTGGTTTGGTCTATACATCCTTTTTATCTTTTAGACTTCAGTTAATCTTGGGAAATTTGTTATTTATTCCTGGTTAAAATGACACTACATTTAAACATGCAGTCCAGATTTAGTCTGAGTTTAAGGTTAAGGTATTATTGCCATAAGGAAATTTGTCCTCTGCATTTGACACATCCTTCAGTGTCGCTGGGACAGCTTACCAGGAGCAGACTTGGTTTAGCCTGTGTTTAGCCTTGGTTTAGTCTGGGTTTAACTGGCAAAAAGATATTAATCCTGTCCTGGTTATCTTCTGTCTTAGCCCTCATTGAACTAGTTCTTGCATACTAAAAGGACCTGTATTACAGTATTTTCTGATCTATGTTATAATGTTGTTTCTTCATCACAAATACCTGGAATTGTGATTTGGTTCATCCACACATGTTTAACACACAAATCCTGTAGATTTAGGCTGAGTTCTTCTCTCAAACAGAAAAACACTCTGTTCCACCATGTGATGTCATGTGATAATACAGGAAGCTCCACTTTTTCTTTTTTTTTTTCCTCCATACATTTTCACTAGAATCAGTTGGATAATTTCACCCATTTCTCTACTGAACAAATGGTATAAGGTAGCTGTTAAATTGAAAACTTCAGGTTCATGACATCACAAGGTGAAACAGAGCATTTTGAACTTTGGAGAATCCAGGATTACTCAAACATGTGTGAATGAAACAAAATGCACCACTATGTATGCTTTTGATGAGGTAACAGCATTACAATGGGGCTTAAAGTTCACAAGCGTCAATTTTGCGTAAAATAGGACCTTTAAATTGTAAATAAACAATTGACCAAACAATCCACATTGTGCAACTTCCGTTTTGCAGTTTGATAAACACATGCAGCACAGAAGATGTTGCCAACCAGGGAACATTGTCTTCTGCTTTGCTGTCTTCATCCAACTATTTCAGACATTTGTTGTTTGTCTACACATTCACAATTCTGCTAATCTTTTTTTAATGAAATGGTAAAATAGTCTTAACACCTGATACACTGCCAGCCAGAAAATAGTGCCGGAACATTGCTTGTGTGACCGGAGTAGTCATTTAGTTGGTTGGATAATGATTTGGACGGTGAGTCAGATTTGTTGAGGAGGAGGCGAGAGGTTGTGTCCCAGTCATGGTGTTGCTCTACATTCGGGCCCTGGGTTACTGTACGCACCGTGGGCAGCTCTGAATCACATTGTTGTAGTGGCACAGATTATTGACAAAAGCATTTCACATACTTGAAAGCCCTTGAATCTTTTGCTGTTGTCATGTCAACAACATATGTTAGATAGAATTATTTATCTCATTAGAAAAAGCTGCTGTATGTGCACCTTACAATTGCAGTCAGTAAACACAGTTGCCCCCTTACTGAAAAGTTCACAGTTTGTTACCTATTTATGCCTTGTACTTATGCTCAGACAGTGTACTTAAACCTACTAGTATGAATTAAAGGAAATGCACTTTAATTTCTTCTAGTTAAGATAAATACCCTTTACATTATGCAGTGAATTGTGCAATATCAAAAGTGTGAAATAGTCACAGTGGGCACAGATTTATGAGAACAATGTAGTAACAATTGCATGAGACTAGAGTTAGCAGTTAAAACTAAAAAATGTTCCTGACTCATGGTTCAAAATCAGGTACAGGCTATTGAATGTGATTGATTGTGGTGTAATTATTTATATTGAACTATTGTTGTGTCTCTCAATTGCCACTACTTCATGAAATAAAAATTACCAGGAAAAATAACCCAGGATTTGAACTAAACCCAAACTATGTTGAGTAAAAACAAGGACTGCAATGAGACTACTAAATAAAACATAAGCAATCATTTAGGCAAAGATGGTAGTCACCATTTAGTATAGAAACTGTGCTTTCTTGGATCTCCCATTTTTATGTTCTCCATGTTTCCTAATAAATTTAGACTGCAGAGGAAAATGCTTATACAAAACTGAGAATATTTTTAAAACATTGGCTTCAAATCGGCGTACAGAAAAAAATATGGACGCTGTAGAGCAAAATGAGATCTTTCTGTTATTTTTCTAATAAAAGATTAGAACTCCCACACATTATATTGGGCACTGGCTATTCCAAGCTTTGTGCAGCCACACAACTTAATGTTACAATGTTAGGAATAGTCACTGTAGGGGAGTTAAAATTCCAACCAACGCAACTTATGTTGGATTTGTACAAGATTTTTAGCTGGTCTAAATAAAAAACTGAAAACATTTTGAGTTAACATTAAATTAGATGGACCAGTCAAATCAGCTCATCTAAAGTACCAGGAAATTATGCCAGGTTAATTCTCTAGTAATAAGTAATTATTTATCCACTTGTTTCTGCAGTTAAAGGTGCATAACTTTTTCTAGTGGAGAGTCCATTAAATGCTTATCTTCCTGGAGATGTTATTGCTTTGTCTGAAATGTTTCACAGTATGGTGCTATTAAACCTTTCTATCACCATAGAGACCAAACCAGACCACGTTACAGGTCAGATCTGTGGCGAGGCGACTCCACTCAGAGTCACAATGCCTGTTTTTCTAGGTATTTTTGAGATATAAAACCACCTTTAATTGAATAAATGTAAGCTAGAACTGTTTAATGTTATACTGTGGAACATTTCAGGCAGAGCTATGGCATCTCCATAGAAACAAGCAGGTGACGGACGCCCAACCAACATAAAAGCCCAGTTGCACAGTGCACCTTTAAGGAAGACATAAAATGACTATATATTGTTGTAATCGTATGAGTAATAACTAAATGAATCACAACTGAATGATATCTTATTATGATGTAGTTTTGCCTTTTACCAGTCGGATGTTGATTGCCCCAGATTTGAACAAGACAGTTCTTTCTCATGTGTGCCAATCAGTATGACCCATAGCTGCAAAGTTAGCATTTTAGGGTCGAGTATAAAAGACAGACATGATAGGTGATAATTCAAAGCGCGTTACCGCTTCAATATCTCAGTCCGTCATTATCTCCAAAGCAAAGTGATGAGTAGGACCAGCGTGGGCTCCTGAAGGGGCTATTGGGAGAATGACACTTGAGAATATGCAGCGGCAGCAGCAGTCTCTATCTCTCACATCAGAATCACACCAGAAATCACATATGCTTTTACTGAACTGGTATATGAATTGTTCACTGCATTTCTATAAAAGAGACCACACTAAAGTTGCTCACTGATTTTGTTTAGGTTATGTCAGATGCTCTTCCTGATACAACCTCCTCCGTTTATCAAGGCTTAAAACTGGCACAAACAATACAAAGACTTGAGAAGGCGAGATAAACTGTGCCTTGCCTATCTAATAGAAGTGCATATTTGTGGTTAAAGTTATCAAAATTAACCAAAATTTTAATCGACTGGGTGTCCAAAATTGAGCTGGAAGAAATAAAAGTGTTGTAAAATGTTTGTAAAAACTTAAGAAATCCACAGAACCCAACAACAACAGCAGCATTTGTCTGTCCTTGAGGTAGGAGACTCTAGACCTACTTTTCTTTGCTGTGAAACTGAAGGAAACTCCAACTATTATTATAGTAAATTAGATACACATTGTACTATTAAAATTTATAAAATAGCCCTCAAAGACAGTTTTGCATTTTGTTTATGCCTTATTTCTGAATTGCAGATAACAGGTGCATGTGGTTTAAAGGTACATTTTGTAACTTTTCTGGTGGAGCATCTTGCAAATGCGTTTCTCCATGGAGATGTTATGGCTTTGTCAGGAATGTTTCACAGTATGGCATTAGTCCTTTCTATCTTCAAGGAGACCAAACCAGACCAAGTTACCAGTCAGATCTGTGAAGAGGGCAACTCACAGTCAGAATGCCTTCTTTTCTAGGTTTTTTGGGCTATAAAACCACCTGTAATTTAATAAATGTAAGGTAGAGCTGTTTCATGTCATACTGTGGAAGATTCCAGGCAGATCAATGGCATTTCTATGGAAAAAAGCAGGTGACTGACAACCACCAAAAAGTTACATAGTGCACCTTTAAGTAGAACATGAAACTATCCTTCTGTACCATTTTTTCTTCTTCCAGGAGATGAACCCTTCTCCTCCAGATGCATGCTCTCCTTGTGTGTTCCTCCTAGCTCCTCCTTCAAAGCACTTATCTCCTCCTCCAGAGCATTGGACTAATTCTTCTTCTCTCATTTGGCCAACTCTCATCTCTCATTTGGCAATCCTCTTCCACAGCTCTGTCCTCCTTCTCCTTGTGCTGCAGATGCTCCACTGTGGCTTTGAGACTAGTCTTATTCTCCAGAAGGGTCTGCTTGAATGTCTTGATAGTTTTCTTGAGAACTATCTTTTCCTTCACCCTCTCCATGTTTTGGTTGACCTTTTATTCTACCATCTGCTCTATTTCAATCTTCATTTGGCTGATCTGGTGCATCAAGCCACACCTTTGTGCATAAAAACCACCCACACCTAGGGAGAACATGCAAACTCCACGGGATTCGATAACAATTCAGATTTCATTTGCACTCTTAATGTAGTAGTGTTATTTTTTAGTTAGTTTTAGATTAGATCCAAATCAGTGACTAATGCACAATACGGACCTCAAGTATTGACATTATCTTGCAATACATACTAGTATACATATACATCATTGGAAGTTGTTTTTTACTAACCACTTGGCTTTTTGGTTCTATTTCATAGAAATTATACACTGTGTGCACAATTATTTGGCAAGTGGGTATTTTGACCATATCATTTTACACATATTCTCCAATTCCAAGCTGTTTAAACTTGAATTCTTATTGGATTTAAACATTTCAAGTGAAGTGATGTGTATTTGTCTAACAAGGGAGGGTGTGGCCAAAGGAGATCAACACCTTATATCAAGGTATAAAGAATTAGTAGGCAGCTTCCTTTCCTCAGGCAAAATGGGCCAAAAAATACATTTAAATGACTCTGAACAATCAAAAATTGTAAAAAGTCTTCAGAGGGATGCAGCACTTTTGAAATTGGAAAGATATTGGGAAGTGATCAGAGAACCATCAAACTTTTGTTGCAAGTACTCAATAGTGTTGCAAGAAAGGTGTTGAGTAAAAAAGAGGCAAATTAACTGCAAGAGATTTGAGAAGAATCAATCATGAAGCTACCAGGAATCCATTTTCCTCCAGCGCTGTCATAGTCCAGAACTGCAAACAACCTGGAGTGCCCAAAAAGTACAAGGTGTTCAGTACTCAGAGACATGGCCAAGGAAAAGAAGGTTGAAACCTGACCACCACTGAAGAAACAAGCTGAAACATCAAAACTGGGCCAAGAAATATCTGAAGACAGATTTTTCAAAGGTTTTATGGACTGATGAGAAGAGAGTGACTCTTGACAGACCAGATGGATGGGCCTGTGGCTGGATCAGTAATGGGCACAGAGCTCCACTTCAACTCAGACGCCAGCAAGGTGGAGGTGGGGTACTGGTACAAGCTGGTATTATTAAAATGAGCTTGTTGGACCTTTTCGGGTTGAAAATGGTACTCAAAATTAACTCGAAAACCTACTGCCAGTTTTTAGAAAACACTTTCTTCAAGCAGTGGTACAGGAAAAAGTCTGCATCTTTTAAGAGGACCATGATTTTTATGCAGGACAATGGTCCATCACATGCATCGAATTACTCCACTGTGTGGCTAGTCAGTAAAGGCCTTAAAGATGAAAAAATAATGACATGACCTCCTTCCCCACTTGACTTAAACCCTATTGAGATCTTGTGGTCCCTTCTTAAACAAGAGATTTACGATGAAGGAAACCAGTACACCTCTCTAAACAGCGTCTGGGAGGTTGTGGTTGCTGCTGCTCAAAAAGTTGATTGTCAACAGATCAAGAACCTGACAGACTCCATGAATGGAAGGCTTATGACCATTATTGAGAAGAAGGGTAGCTACATTGGTCACTGACTTTTTTTTTTTTTTTGGAAATGTTAGAGATGTATTTGTAAATTTAGTTTAATATAGTTGTTTACTATTCTTACAAATTAAAATACTTAATAATTAATTTTTCATTTAGCTGAGAAATAATTCACTTCACTTTTACTTTCTTAAATATCCAGGTTTGAGGGTTATTAACATTTCAGATTGACTGAGTATATAAATATAAATATTATGAAAATGAGTCCTCATAAATACAGCTTGCCTAAATACCTAGAAACCAGCCCAATCAATGCACGTGAAATCATAACCAATTCATGCATTTACATTTTACAAGACCCATTACTATGTACTGTAATGACTTACACAGCAGGTGCTTCATTGGCCATATTAAAATAGATTTCTTATATAAAAGTGATCTATTTAATGTTGTTCTGGGTAAACATTAGCATCTTATTACTTTGAGAATTCTGCACCATTTTTCTTTTCCAAACTCCCTTCATTAAGTCTCATAACATCTGGTTTCCTTCTCTCATTGTAGCCCCTATAACAATATTGTCCTCCACAGACAGTCCCTCTGAAGTCCTCTGTGCTACTTGTCCAATAGCATTCATTATTATTCTGCCTTGTAACTGCTTCATAACACCAGTCAGCAGACTCAAGTAATTTATAATCCCGCTAAAAAGGCGCCAGAGAGAGACGCATCAAACTCTCTTCACCTCTTCCTCCTCTAGCCTTGGCAAAACCTGCTGTTACCATAGAGATATACTTCCCTCCAACCATCTTGTTTAATACTTTTCAAACCTCGACTTACTAAATCAAGCAAATCACACGCAGCAATATCCGATACGGACCAATTGTGCCAGCAAAGTTTATGCAAATCAACTTCAGATGAAGGTTTGACAAACTTTTTCAGACTTGGTTAGGATTAGTAAAAAATATATAAACAAGCAATTATTAATGTATTAGGATTACTGCATAGAAATCACTGTAAAAATGCCATCCCAGTGAGTGACATGCATCGCTCTAAGTGAAAACCTGCAAATTATATACTGATACAAAGATAAAAGCAAACAAAGGCAGAGCGCTTGAGTGTCGTGACCAAAAATAGCGCCTGACAGACAAGGTTTGGGGGCTGCTGCGTGAGCAAAGTGCAAATCTCCTACTTAGGATTCACCAGTCAATCCCAGCATACTCTGAAACCTTTAAAAAATCACTGCTACTGTTCAGATTCATTGCAATTACTTATAAACTGTAGTGGATACAAGCATAAAATGGACTTACTCAGAGACTGGCGGGGATAGAAGCTCACAGCCCCTCAAACGCTGCACCTCCACATGGAAAAAAATTGTTTGTTTCGTGGGGTCTCCCTCGCTAGCCGCCAGCCGGTGAGATGGATTCGGTGCTTGGGCGAATTCGCGGATGTCATCGTCACTGGCGAGCGGCGATCGCTGCTTTGAGAGAAGAGGAGAGAGAGAGGGAGAGAGGAGAGGAATAGTGAAGAAATGCACACTGCAGAATGAACATGCTCCCTCTCTCCTCTTGTCAATGGCTCCAATCTTGCCATCCAACCACCAACCACCCCCTGACTTGTTTTTTTCTTTCTGTTTTTAGTTCATTCTTTGGTTACCGCATCGCCTAATCACACTAATGTATGCAGATCAAACAGCAAGCATCCTCTGAAAAGTTGTTTGTATAACATCACATTCAAACATCTCATTATTGACAACCAAAACTGAACCACAATTTACCTCACTAATTATTCCCGGAGAACAATGAATTATAATATAGGCTTTATGTACCAAAAGAGAAGCCTTTTATCGATGTAGGCTATAAATAAAACATCTGCCCTGAACGTTAAAAGACACGAGTTCTTTCAGCATCGTGACGGTACAATTTTTAATAATTCATGTCGTGAGCCTGTTCTATGAAGTGCTGTGTTTTAATATAGAAAAATCAATAAATAACTAAACAGATGATTACATAATAGTCTATATACTTCCCCTTGAGCAGCACATAGAATGAATATTTCCTTATGTTCTATTATGCACAGTTATGAGCTTTTATGAAAACAACTGTACCTACAGTTGTGTTTTATTTCATTCATGCATGAGTAACCTTCTAAAAACCACCACATGATGTCGTCAGCAGATGGGCTCCTCTATGTTAAGTCCATTCACTTTCCCCAGACTCATTTGAATAATTTTATTTTGATTTTTAGTATTAAAATTGCCCATTACAGGTGATCTTTATTATTGCTTCCAAATATGCGTCTAATCCCCATTGTAAGGGTATTGATGAATGTTAATTGCCTTACGCCGGTCAATGATCAGTCAATATATTGTATGCGTACATAAATCAGTCACTGTTAGTGTTAGTGATTAGTAATATGGGATTGGATTTCCAAAACATCTCTAAAGCCTTATTACGGTGTTCAACCTTAAGGCTCACTCCCTAATAAAGTGAAGTGTCAGGGGAGATGAAAGTCAGTCTAACCAGGGCACTGTTTAAATCATTGTGGTGGTGGGTAAAGAGAATAGAGTTGGAAAGGGCATCCAGCTAAAACACTTCTATGGATATGTCATTGTTCTGGCCACAGTATGACATTAAACTGCTGTGCTACCTTACATTTATTCAATTACAGCTCAAAAATACCTAGAAAAGCAGCATTCTGTCTGTCTGATCTGATCTGACCTGTAACTTAGTCTGGTTTGGTCTTCATAAAGATAGAAAAGGTTTTAAGCCATACTGTCAAATATTCCATACTACATGCTATTTCCATGGAGAAAAGCATTTGACAAACCCTGCACCAGAAAAGTTACACAATGCACGTTTAAGTAAAACGCAAATCATGATAGATTTGAATTCAAAAAGTTAACAGCTAGGCAGTGTTCATATAGATCCGATATGACTATTATTAAGTTGCAGAGTGAGAGTGAGTTCAATTCTGCATATTTGTCATGATCCAAATTGGGACTAAACCTGGACTAGAACAGACCAAACTAAGTCCACAATCAGGAGTCGCCTCTGGTGTTGCTAATAATGATGGAACCAGGCAAAAACTGAAGACTGATACCCACACAGCCAACACAGAGCAGCAGCATAATGCCTGAGGGAATGAAATAGACCAGAGGTAAGACAACAATAAGGAGGATATCATGAAAGAATACAATGTTCACAACAAAAAATATTAGGGGTGTGCAAAAATATCGGAATATCGATATATCGTATCGTTTAATGTGATGATACAGTATCGATATCGTGGGCTACTGTATCGATATATCACCAAGAGTATTTTTAGGTGTGTTTTACTAAATTATTTTGTTACAGTGCTACAGTTTTGTTGCTTGTGGAGTGAAAGGAAACTCATTTATGCAACACATTTGATATTTTTACTGTTTTGATGATTAAAATGTTTGTGTTTCATATGAACTTTGCACAAAAAGTGGTTTAACAAAGACTTTTAGTGTCACAGCCACAATTTAGCCTTTATTTTTTATTGAACCGTATCAAATACATCATATTGAATCGAAAGTGCACTGTATCGAGATATGTATCGTATCGTGGCCTGTGTATCAAGGTATGTATCGTATCGGCAACTTCTTAATGATACCCAGCCCTAAAAAATATAGTGTAAAACATTACACCCTAACAGTATTTTTTCTAGAGCTATAGTTGCATGTCAGTCTAGCAACCGGTGGATTTTCATGTACATGTTTTTTATTGTTAGATTTTAACATTATGTGTATGATAGAGAAATGGGTGTGGATAGATAGGGGGAAGTTGCCACCAGATATTTTCTCAGCACACAAGCTAGAAGAGGAAAATACTGTATCAGATGCATAAATCAGTCAAAATGCAACTCAGAGTAGATGAGGCAATGCCATTATCACATGGCAAAAAGCTCATTAAAGTTGCATTTGCATCCCCTTTAAGTTTGGGTTTAGACTTAAATTCCAGCTCTTTAATCAAATTTCACAACATTTAGCTCACACTGCAGAATGGTGTCAGTGGGTGGAACTCCCCTGTTGAAGGTTCTGAATCTTAATGAGGCTTTCCTAATAAATGAGGGGAATTTAAAACTTTGCCATGTCCAAGGACATGACAACATTATCTACAATGTTCATAATCAAATGCTAATGTTTTGAGTTTTGAGGAAAAAATCTACAAAAGACAGGCCACACACAAGTAATTCTTCCAGCACTAATTTGATTCGATCCTTTAAAATGTACTGCAATGTTTCTTTTTCCACCAACATCATGAGTCTTGGTAAGAGAAGCATACTCCATGGCTCCCACAGTGAACTGCTCTGTGCAAGGTCTTATATAATGTATAAAATGCTTGAGGTTTCCAGTGTTTAGTGTTGGATCGAGGAAGACACATCTTCCTCAGGTTACCTAGCAACAAGACACTGTACTAAGTCTCTGAAGCAGCTCCCAGTTTAATTTCACTGGAAGAAATATGGACTCTCTTCTTCACTCTATTGTTTTTAAACATGCACATGTAGTAGTTATAGAATGGACTACACAATGAATGTCAGGTAAAACATGTAGCTGCAGTCTCTATATCAGAAAAAAAACAAAATATGCAATAGTTTTCCATCAAGTGGAACACTCTTCTTAGCAAGACTTTAATTAAAATACTTAAAAGGCAACTCTACTTAGGCATCATGTTATGGTTTATGGTGCATGTATTATAATTATCACAGAGAGAATGATATCTTTATTATTTCAATCTATATCTCAAATATTAAGTGTTTAATAGGCTTACTATATGTATTTTGGTCAATATAATAACACATACAACTGTGTATTTGGTTATTACAGCACTAAGATCATTTCTGTCACACTTGGAATATCCATGGAACATGCTTTTTTAAAATTTACTTTAAAACTATATTTTGTAGCATGCTGGGTCTCCTACCTTTAAAGCCAGGTGGTTCCGGGTTCAATCCTCAGGCTGACTAATCTTCAGTCATGTCTTTGGTGTGTATGTCTTCAAAAGTGTACAAAGGCCTGTATGAATATGTCTTGGGACAATGCCATCTCTCAATTCTATGCAAAATGCTGCCCTCCACTGGTTAAACATAAGATCATTACAAATAGATTGACATACATGTTGTTTGGGTGGTGTATGCCTCAGGCTTCATTGAAATACTGAGCTTTGAAGAGCTGGGTATTTGTTATATAATACTGATCCAAAAGGGCATTACCAGTGGAAAATGCCCATCAGAGGCCTATGACTAACAGTCAGGGTTATGTAAGATTGAAACAATCACCCCTGTTTTATGAGTAAATAGTGTAAAGGAAATAAAACATGCCAGAACAAGTGTCAAATATTCAAATTGTAGATATAATTAATAAACAGTTCATCCCTGTAACATCTGGATCCTCCCATTTCTATCTCCTCTAAACACATCAGAATCTAATGCACTCCAAATAACATACCTGTGTGGAGTCATGAGCCTCCACCTCCTCTCTCTCCACTGTCTCTAGTCTTTCTTGACACCTATTCAGTTCTCCTCATTCTGTCAGATATAACATTAAGAGCTTTTTTTCCAGCTCTTGGTCTCTTCTCCTGTTGTATCTAGTAGTTCAAACACACATGGAAATATATTAAAAGGATGCATAGAATTTTTTTTTTAATCTACGCTACTAAACACTACTCTGCCCAGACCAGTTCATCTTTCCCACAGGGAATAATTGAGCTCCATAAAATGCTTCTTTATAGAGGAAAAAAAAAAAATATAATAACAAAACATTAATTGTCATTCAAAACCATGGTCAAGTTTCTGCACCCCCCTAAGCTGGTTAAAACAAGTCTTGACCAAGTTTTTGTCTTTTGTTTTCGCAAAGGGAAGAGCATAAGTATCACACATATAGGTGAAGAGCAGTAAACACAATGCATAGTTTTAAATCAGGGCTGCTTCAACTGATATGGTGAGGAACATCAAGCATACCATCAAATTCCCAAGCAGAGTTCCTGCAAATGTTGATTTGGAATGGGTTTTTTGAGCTCTTTGGGACCAGTGTGTGACCAGATAAAGGCATGAAACATGAACTAGTCAGGTTTCAAGAAATGCATTGTAATACTTTGAGTTTGGCCATAGAGGGAGCTATAGTACATAGCAACAATTACAAGAACCTATTTTTCAACTATACCATTAGCATTAGGTATGTGTAAATAACACACTGGTTGAATATACCATTAGCCATATTTTGACCTTGGAAAGAAGCCAGCTGGCATACAGTACACCATACGCTCTCAAATAGCCAAAAGGATGATATGAACAGTTTTTGTTGCAGCAACCCAAGGACTTGCAGCCTCATATAGCATAGCAATATGGTCTCTATTGCAAAAACATTCTTACTGCACCTTAGACCAACAATGATGTAGAAGGTGATTTGTTTCATTTGCTTGAAAGATACAGAAATTATCTTGTTATATTGTTGATTTGATAATAAAAACATTGTAATTCCTGGACATGTGTTGTTTTTCCGCATTTCCTTTATTTGTCCAAGTAGTATTACACTAATAAGGATAATGTAAGGCCCAGCATGCACCAGGCTTAGTGGTTTATCAGTGTTTTGATGGTCTCCCTAATGCCACAGCAGGAGTAGCAGGAGTGACCCACTTCTATTGTGCTTTTCTCTGTCAGTTCAGTAGGGCTTTGTTTGTGTTCATTCACCAATACACTTCACCCCTCCACTGCAAATGCACTAGAGATCTACATTTATAAATGAAGGATCATAATACAATAACAATACCATATTTGAAGGATAGGCAGGATTACTGTACATTCAGTTTGTTTTACTTACCTTACTTTGGAATCTGCAAAATAATAAAATATGAAAAAAGAAATCTAAATTTTGAAACTGGTGAGTGGATAAATAAAACATAATGCATCATGTTCATGTATCATGAGTTATTTCTAATGTAATGTAATATTAGTCTAGCTGCTGCTTGGCCAACTTTAAGGAAACGCTAAGGAACGACTTCTCACCTTAGCATATTTCTTTCGGCGAATTGGAGGTAAAATGCACTGAAAAGAAAGCCTTCAGCAGATTAACCATGCCCGTATGAAGCTGCAGCACCATGTTCTTAATCAACCATTGCGAGACAGATTAGCAACAGGTAATGTGTAAACTAGCCTATGGGCCTACACGTGGCTAGTTTGTAGCACATCAGAGCTAATTTAGGCGGGTAAAAAGGTCAGCACATAAAACGTAAACATGGTAAGGTAGTGTTAGCACACCACATGTTTATTCTGCCTGCTGTACTATGATTGATGTGTATTAAGGTCGTAATATACATATATATAAAAAACATAATTTGTCCTCGTAAAACAGGATCTCTCCTCGCCGGTGCATAGGCCCATGGATGGAGCAGACAGAGATGCTCATATCTTATCTCCTCCCCAGTCCTCCCCCAGACAGATGTGTGAGTACATGAGAATGATGTGTGCATTACAGAAGTGCCAAAATATGGCGCTATCGCTTTGAGCCAATGGTGAGGCGGTTTGTAACAGGTCTCTGCGCGTCACTGCTGTCACGGAGACGCGCACACAGAGATTGAGGAGACTGCGGGGCCGCGCACACCGCTCGGCTGATGCCTCCCGTTTAACATCATTATGGGGCACCGGGAGCCCTCTCCGAAATGGATCCTGACAGATAGACCCACCGAGGCTCGGACCCTAATACCGGGATAAAACAGTCTATTATTACGGTACGCAGGTCGCTATTAAAGCCGCAGAAGAGGCAGTGTTTGCTTTGAGTCGGTGCCGCGGTTGGTGCACTCCAGGCGCTAAAGGACAGATCTAGATCTGAACCGAAGGAAGATGGATGTGTTGAAAAGAGGCTGGTGTTTTCCGCCGAACCCGCTCATGCCAGGGTGGGCACAGCCGGAGTAAAACCAGCTAGGGGCTCTCATCTGTTGGCGTGTCTATGTCCGCTTTCTGCCTGAACCTGCACGCGTCCTCCACGGTGTCAGCACCACTGGAGCTGGACAGCGACTGCCTGGAGCCCCAGGGCCCGGAGCAGGAGTCTGGCGGCATGCAGCCTCACCCTCTGCGGCATGCCGGCTCCGGAGGCCTCGGTACGGCCTTGGAAGAGGAACTGGCTGTACTCACAGGGCAGCGAGACGACGAGGAGGAGCTGTCCGACCAACAGGCGCCTGGAGTGGGGCATAGCACAGACCTGCTGACGCTCTTCCGACAAAAGGAAAAAGACCTAGTTTTAGCTGCTAAACTTGGAAAAGCTTTACTCGAAAGAAACCAGGATTTGACCAAGCAATATGAGCGCATGCAGAAAGAGCTCAGCGACAAACTGGAGGTAAACAAACACAAAACAGTCCAAACAAACGAGCTGTTTCTCATTGTTCTTTTTATTTTTCCTTTATAAGGCATGATCACGTTTTACCCAACAAATAACTTTAAAGAGTGTGTTCTATTGGATTAATGTCCCCATCCCCTGCAGCTTTGGAGTTCTGCTTTCAGCCTTTTTAATTCAGGCTCTGTATTCAGCAGAAGCCTATGGGGCTTAAGATATAGACTACTGCAATGTAACATACTGCATATTGTCACTTGTCTGAGTAATTGTTATAGACAAAGCCTCACCACATTTTATCAGTTAACCTTAAGGGCTCTTTTTAAGCTGAGGGTGTTACCAGCAGCTTTAAGGTTATAAAAACTTGTCTTTAGTCGTTCCAAAGATATTAACTCAAAAACTTCCCTTTCTTTTTAAAATTAAACTTAATTTTGCCTATATGCTAAACCCAATAGTGTTTACTGAGTGAATCCTCCGTATTAATCCTGTTGCTGACCAGGCTTACCGTGTTGGCCGTACATCTGCTCAGCTCTTTGATCCACTTTTATCCCAATAAATCTCCTCCTATAAAAGACTGGTCCATCACTGAAGATATTACAACCCCCTCATGGCCTCCAGCGCTGTCCCATCCTGACCAGGGCTCTGTGTGCATGTTCCATTGTTTTGATTACTCTTTTATCTCTTCCTTTGTTGGTGCATTTGCAAAGAGATGAAAACCCCTGAAGAGGACAGCTGCAGCATAGACCACTCACTCAACAAAGTGTAAATCATACTGAATAAATCTACTAAATACTGAAAAAAGTATAGAAACAAAAAATATGGAGAAATACACAAAAACAGCTCTACTACAGTAGCTTATATATTTTTACACTCGTTTTAAGTCAGTCCAATGTAGCAATCTAGCTTTCGTCACCTCCTGCCCTTCAAAATAAAGCTTTTTGGAGCCTCTGCCCTTTACGATTTAGTTTCGTTCGCACTGCATTAAGTTTACCAACTTCAAGAGGCATTGGTGAACTTTTGGCACAGCCTGAAAAGTTGTGATTATAACTTCCTTCCTTAGTCAGCTATGGGGTCACAAAATACATAAGTCATGCAATGATAGTCAGACAAGGAGGCCAGTCATTGTTTTCACTATGAGGTCCATGCAGTGTTTGTTTTTTTTTAAATAGAGATGGGCTGTGACAGGTTTTTTCTTGGTTGATGCAGTACAGATTGTTTAGAAAGCAGAGAAAGTGGCGGCCAGTATTTTCCGCCAATATTTATTTGCCGATATGTAGGGCTGATCTGAATAATTTTCCAAAAATTATGTAATTTAAATTTAATACAGACTCATCCACAACCCTTTTTTGACTACAAATCTATAAGAAAGCTCTCTAAAGCTTGAGATTTGACTATATATTGGCCAGTAGTATAGGTCATATATAGGTCAGTTTGTTTCTGTGTTTGCAGTAGTTGTATTGTGACTTTGACTGCGATTGTCCTTGTCTGTTATGCTTGTGTACAGCACTTTGGCCAGTTGTAAAGTTTTTAAAGTACTTTATAAATAAAGTAGGTATGGTACATCTACATCACTTCCTTAAATCCTTAAATGACTAACTTTTTGCACACTCATAATTACATTTTGTTTCTCTTGTAAAATAAAAAATCTTGAGTAAAGAGGTAACTTATATAATCTATAGTATAGTAACTAATAGTCTTTACCATGTTGTACTGTTTGCAGCACTTGGAGCAGGAGAAGCATGAGTTGCGGCGGCGCTTGGAGAGCCGTGAGGGGGAGTGGGAGGAGCGTGTGGCTGAACTGGAGTCAGACGTCCTTCATCTCCAAGAAGAACTGGACAGACACCAGGTCCAATTGAGAGACGCTGACCGGGACAAGAGCCGGGCCATCAGGGAACTGTCCGAGCAGAACCACCGGCTGCTGGAGCAACTCAATAGGGTGAGGCTAGCGGTTATGGTGTAATGTGTTGTGGGCGTGGGCATGACCTGGGAGAAAGCACATTAAGTTTTTGTTGGATCTTGAAAATTCACATGTCAAAGCTTATGCCACAATTTAGGGACTTTAGGGACTCATTAGGCCAAAAACTTCAGGCAGAATTTGTATAAAATCCCTATTACATTTTTTTGACTTTTTTGTTAGCCCAAAAAACGTGGAGTTTCTATTAATGTTTTACATGTCCATAAGATTGATTGTTCCCTTTGATCAGAAGCTGGACAAACAGAAATTAACTTTAAAAAAGTAAAAGGGCCCCTATCAGCTCTTCAAGAAAATGTCTGCAATTTGCAAAAACACTGCTATTTTTATATTTCCTCCAGAAACAACTAAATCATTATTGTGCAAAAACTGTTGAGATATATACATGTTCTGTAAAGTGATTTTTGTTTTAGTTTGTCAGTTCATATTTCAGTCTTTTGGTGAATTCTTCTGGACACGTTTAAGATGTGAAATTTGAACAGAATCCTATTATTAAAACTCTTATTGTAATCGCAGTGCTTGTCTAAAAAAATCACTGAAAAATTACTTTCCCAAATCGTTCACTGCACTGGGCTGAAAGGCTTTTTGCGTAGAGCACGATTCATACAAAGTTGTGCAACAGCTGCAAAAAATGAGGCACATACTTTTTAAGATGGTGAGCAAGTGCTTTCACCTTTCCGCCTGTCAAACCTATGCAGCAGCCTCCACTGTGCTTGACTCATTCTGTAAAGGTGCACTATGTAACTTTTTGGTTGGGGGTCGGTTACCTTCATGTTTTTATGGATATATCACTGCTCTGCCTGGAATGATTTACAGTATGACATTAAACAGCTCTACTTTACGTTTATTCAATTACAGGCAGTTTTGTTGCTCAAAAATACCTAGAAAAACACACATTCTGACTGAGCGGGCCGCTTCTCCACAGATCTGACCTGTAAAGTGGTCTGGTTTGGTCTCCATGAAGATAGAAAGGTTTAATACCTTACTGTGAAACATTGCAAACAAAGCTAAAATCTCCATCGAGAAAAACATTTGACAGACCCTCCACCAACAAAGTTACGTAATGGACCTTTAACTTGGGCAGCTGTGGTGGCTAGAGGCTATGGGCTGTGGGGCCAGGGGACTCTAAATCTTGTTTGTTTTTTTTTTCTCTATTTTATATATGTTTTAGGTTATTATTACTTGATTACGGACAAACATCATTAGCATTCAAATTTTTCCAGAGTCTGAAAAGTTATGATTGTAATTTCCTTTCTACCCTTTTTTGGATTTCTTCATGGCAAGTCCTTCAGCTATAAGGCCTCTTGATTTGAATGGCTTCTAAAATACACAAAATGAGCAAAGACAGTCAGACAAGGAGGCCAGCCTTTGCAGTATTTACCTCTTTCCTAATGCCTGTCTGGCCTCACCTGAATTATGCCAACACATTAATATAAAAGTGGGTCTTCTGGGTGGAGCAATAAATAATTAATATTGATTGGACAGGACACTTATGCAATAGCAATCTGCATATTGAGGGACAATTCAAGGGCAATTTCTGGAACAGGTTCAATGAAACCCCTCAATAAAAGTGACAAGATGGAGATAGATAGAGGAGAGTATGCAGTAGTCAGTTATCTGTATTGGGTTTTCAAGAGGTTTGGGTTCAAGTGTAGTTTAACTCTACAGGTGCTTAAATGTGCTGGCGAAGCTACTTTGAACATTTTGTACCTTGCACTATGTAACTTTTTGGGTGGGGGGTTGTCACCTGCTTGTTTCTACAGAGATGTCACTGCTCTATTAAATGTTACACAGTATAACTAAACAGCTCTATGTAACATTTATTCAATCACGGGTATTTCTATTGCTCAAAAATACCTAGAAAAAATAGAATTCTGACTGTGAGCAGGATTGCCCCTCCACAGATCTGACCTGCAACTTAATAATAATATACTGTGAAACATTCCAAATGAAGCAAATAACATCCCTAGAAAAGAAGAAAGAAGAAAAGCCTGTGACGGACTCTCTACCAGAAAAGTTACTCAAAATACACTATGTCTAACTTTTCCGTGGAGGGTTTGCCGAAATAATAGCACCAGACCAAGTTATAGATCAGATATGTGGAGTGACGAGCCCGATCACGAGAAGTAATGCGTGTTTTTCAGGGTAAATTTAGCATAGTGCCTGTAATTGAATAAATACAAGGTAGGAAAGTTTCATTCTGAAAAGCAATAGTAATTTACATACAGAATAAATAAATCCCTGATGTACAGACAGCAGTAGAGTGGAGGCGAGGCTCAAGTGACTGGCAGTGAACTGGGCTGATGCAGGTGAAAGTGCCAATGTTTAAATCCTGTTAAAGAGCTCAACAAAAGACCTGCTCAATCTAAAAGAGCTACTCCCTGTTCAACCAAGGACAAGAACTACGATTAAAGGTGCCTGGTGTAACTTTTCTGGTGGAAGGTCTATCAGCTGCTTTTCTCCATAGAGGTGTTATTGCTTTGTCTGAAATGTTTCACAGTATAGCAGTAGGTTAGGTTAGGTTAGCTTGCTTTATTTGTACCCGTAGGTAAATTTGTTTAGCAGATTTGAGAGGCAGGCCCCACATTTCACATTTCATTCATCCACATTATGTACAATAACACGTATAAAAACAATCCTATTCACAGAGAGAATTATAGTATTTCTGAGTAATAGAAACACCTGTAATGAATGAATGCTAGATAGATGTGTTTAATGTCATACCATGGAACATTCCTGGCAAACCGATAACAACTCCAAGGAGACAAGCAAAAGATGGACCCTCCACCAGAAAAGTTAAACAATGTGCCTTTAATACAAGTCAGGGGCAGTGGCCATCCGGTTGCCAAAACTCATCTGATAGTTGTTTTGTTGTGAAACTGTTGGTAGCAGGTGCAGAGGCTGTGACACTCCCCAAAGCCCAAAGCGCAGCGGACAAGCCCGTACAGACTGTGATAACCCCAACATAGATGAGTAACTATGCCTCCTCTGGGGCCCAACTCATCTCTGGCGTTTGGGAAACTGTGGCCAATTTTTGAGCCAAGTAGATAGTATGGGAGAAAGAGAGAGATTAATCTATGCTGTTTAAATATTGTGAAATTTGCTATCATCGCTATTTGGAGGAGGCCTAATCTCATGATCTATTTCTTTTACTGTTACTGATTCATTCCCATCTCATCTGCTCAAGACAACCAGCACTTTTTATAATGAAGATATCCAATTCCAACACGTTTCATTGAGAATCTATATTGTATAGATCCGAGTTTAAGGTAATAGCATATTTGTGGGGTATTTCAGGCCTAAATTATGATGAGATATGCAATGAGAGGCATTGTTTTTTTTGCTTGTGGTCCGATTCACAAATATTCTGACTTAAATCATATAGTTTATCACTGTATATGATTGATATTACTGCTTTTTATGTTGTAAGAACTGTCATCTTAACCATAATCTCATAAACATTAGAATTTTTTTATAGTTAAAGAGCAATTTGAATTCAATTTAATTCTTAACTGTTCCACACCTCAATTTTATTTAAATAATTTGATCTATCTTGCATTTACTCGGTTATGAGTTTTTATTGCTTAAAAAAAAAAACTATCTCTTGCCACTCCACATATCTGGCCTGTAACCTGACCTGGTGGCATCACCTGCCTGTTTAATGTTTACCATATACTTTGGAACATTCCAGGCAAAGCAATAGCATCTCTCAGCACTTCCATGAAGAGACGGAAGATGTGGGACAAACCTTCCACCAGAAAAGTTACACAGTGCACCTTTAAAGTGCATACTGCAGATTTTTTTTTACTTTACTTTTAACCTAATTTGGTTGGATTATAACAAATCCCCAAATTTTTGGGGGGCGGGCCTGAATATACTGTATTCAGGCCCGCCCCCCAAAAATTTGGGGGCTCGGACAAGAAACCTCAAATAGGCCTCCCTCTAATATAAATTAATAGGAAGAGGGTTCAATTATGGGCCCCTAAAAATCTGGGGCCTGTCACATTTTCCAACCAGGAAGTCAAGTTTTTATCTTAAAAAATAGGCAAACTGGGAAAACGACTGTGAATGTATTTGCACAAATCTTACATATAATGATCTTAACTATGTTAAGTAAAATTAGTAGTCTAACCTGTTATAGGCACTTTAAACTAGGCTCCTTCAAATGAACTGTACCTAATTGTGTGCATCGAACCGTGTTTCCATGACTGGGCGAGTGTGAGACTGTGGCAGAAGTGATGATGAGGTGATTGGAGGTGCTGTGTTTACTTCCTGTTGTTGTGTAATTTTGTTTGGTTCTGTTGGTGGTGGTAGTGTGAGTGTATTGAGCACTGGGCTGTGACTAAGTGTTACAGTTCAGCCTGAATGGCGTGTAAATCACCTGCAGTTGTACAGACTTCAGGGACCCGCTATTTTTAATCTAAACTCTTATAATAGTTTCAGTGGAAGGCCTCTATTATGACTGCTGTATTTGCCTAATAATAACATTTAGCTGTGCATGTCAGTGATGATAGTTTGGATACTTCCTCTGGTGCTAGACTTAAATATATAGAGTTTCCTTTTTTCTACAGAAGTAAAAGCATGTGGTTTAGAGCAATGTGCCTCAAACTGTGGTATGCAAGCTCCTTCAGGTGGTATTTGGACAGCTCTTCAGTATGTGGGTTTCCTTAAAGGTGCATTATGTAACTCTTTGTTAGGGGGTTTGTCACCTGCTTGTTTCTATAGATATGTCATTGCTCTGCCTGAAATCTTCCACAATATGACATTAAACTGCTCTACCTTACATTTAGTAAATGTAATGTAAATGTAAGTTTTAGTTTTTAGTTTTATAGCTCAAACTATAAAACATAAAGCTGGCATTCTGACTGTAAGGATGGCTGCCTCTCCACAGATATGACCTGTAACTTGGTCTAATTTGGTCTTCATGGAAATAGAAAGGTTTAATACCATATTGCGAAACATTC